GCCCGTGGGACCCGCCGGAGCCCCTTCGGTGCTGTGGGACGCGTTATGTGGTGTTTTCGGTTGAAAAGCGATGGGCTTGATACGCTCATTAGTGCGTGAAAGGACTGATAGGGATCTTGTGGTTAAAGAACTTCTGAACTGCTGGCCTAGAGCCATTGCTGTCAGATACTTCAGTGATGGGTATGTTGCATGAACTCCAATAACAGTCGATAGTGCAACCTTCGTTCCTCTTTGGCGTTGTTTACTAGAAAATCTCTGTTGTAAACCTTAATGCTGCCCACAGTTAGATTCTCATTTGGCCATGTTTGAGACTGAAAAGTGTCTACTCGTTTTCCTTTTGAGGTCTCCTTTCTTTGTCTCTTGCTTCCTGTCCATCTCTTTTCTTTCTACGTCTTTTCCTTGAAAGTACTGTCTTTGTCAAGAGAGTCTCTAGTCTGTTTAGCAATGCAAGCCACTTCTGTTTTTTTTGTTGTTTTTTGGGGCTTTTTTTTTTTAATCTTTTTAATTGTACTTTGTATGGTAACATCAAACAAGTGCTCTGAGAAGAGTGGAAGATGTGACATTCTTTGCTGAGGGTTTCCTTGTAGGAATTTAAATAAAGTGGTTATGAGGACAAGGGAGTAATTTTTGTGTTAACTGCAATGATTAAATGAGAAATTTGTTAGTAACTGAATCATGTTTCTATTCACTACATCCAGTAATTACTATGTAGAAAGTAACTAGCTTAGCTATCTATAAGAATAACATCCACTGGAGGCTCATAAATATCTTGACATTTTTTCGTAGCTGATACAGGCATCAAATATTGCTTTTCAGAAAAAAAAATCTATTTTACAGGACCTAAGAAATTCTGCCAGTGTATTAAAAGTAATAACACTTTGCATATTTGTAGTTCCCTTCAAGAGAGGCTAGCATGCCATTCCTTCTTCCCCAGGTATCCCTCAAAAGCTTGATGTTATGGATGAGATAGAGGAAAGAAGTGGATTATTTAAACTGTTTGTCAAAGTCATGCATTATCAGTGACAGATAACCCCATCACAAGTTGTTTGCTTGAATGCCTTTGACTCTTGCCAAAACATCTCAATAAAGTTATAATTAGCTGTGGCTGGCAGTGCCATGAGCTGTAACAGCATTTATCTACTGCAGAGTCATGTTCAGGAAGGTGCAAAATTCTTGGCTCTCTCTATAGGCATCAGGCATTAAACGTCTGCTGTGACCATTTGCAGATGAATGTTCTTGGATCCATGTGAGAGGTTTGTTAGAGGTTCAGCAACTACAGGATGGCTTTTAGAAATTGTACATGTACACAGGAAGGATGAGCAGCATTAATTAAATGTCCTGTGCTCCTTCTGAAGCCTTTTGTTGGTCTATATATTTGGAAATGTTTAACAGAATAATGGAAATTTAAGGTTGGGCAGTTTCTCTCTGTTGAGATAAAGATGCAGTGCTCCCCATTGTACTTTACTAGTCTTCTATCCAATGCAAGTTCCAGTGCTAGATTATCCACTCTCTTGGGAGGCTGTGTGGCAAAGGACCTATTTTGTATGGTGGCTTTAGTATCCCATAATTTTTTCCAGCAATTCATCTAGTTTCTTAGAGGTAGCTTTCTTTCATCTCCATCAGTTTTTCTTCCCATCAGTGCCTATATTTTGTTTTCCCTGGCAAGTATTCATGTATACTCTGATTTTCTAATTATTTTTCTTGAACCTTTTGAAATTATTGTTGCCTCTATTGTATAATCTTCCTCATTTAGAGTGAAAGAGAACTTCAATATTTATATCTATGCAAGCATCATTAGTAAGCTGTGTATGTCAAGTAAGAAAGAAAATAGATTCATATGGGGTTCCCCTAGATGCTTATCTGCTGATTACATATTTCACTTTTAATGCTTGATTTCTGTTTACAGTACTTTGACATCTGCAGATTGAAAAATTATCCTAAGAATAGACTTTCATGATGCCCTGTGAAGTAATTAACTAGAATAAAGACTAGCATTATTAATCCTCATTTAAATGTTCACAAACAGTGCTTCATGGCATTATAATTTATTTTCATATCTTTCAGAAATTATTAATTTTCCTTTCCCTAGGTTCTTCTAGCAGCTGCTTGGGAGAGTTGACAGGAAAGGGTTTCCAGTTCTGCAAGAGTTTTAAACTCTAGATTTTTTTCATTCTGCATTTTTCTGGACTGTGTTTCTGAAACATTTCAGAGTTGTCATTATGTGTTGGACAAGCCCATCCCAAAATAGCCAAGGGTTTGATCAAATGCATATGCAGGGCGCTGAAATCCGTGTCTTTGCTTGAGGCAAGCAGCGGTTGAGCTGCCTTCCATGTTGGTGTCTTGCCTGAACCATACGTCTTCTGACTGGTTGTGAGTGATGGTTGTGGATGTTATTTCCCTTTTAATTAGCCATTGCCCCCAGGGGAGAGTGATGAGGACTCTGTCCCTGTAGCTGGGACCCCACAGAGCCAAGCGCTGCCAATGCCGTCCTTGTCCCAGCAAGTGACAATATTGTCAAGCTCTGCTGCTTCAGGGCTGGATGAGCTTGGAAGGCCTCTCTGTGTGTTTGTGTGTGTGTGTGTGTGTATGGCTTTTGTTTTGACTAGAAATTTTGTCTTTGCAAGCAATGCATATGTTGCTGTGGAAAGTTTTCCTTCTGACAAACATTTTTCTGGCAAAAAATGCAGTTTCGCACATTTTGGCATTTCTCTGCATTTTGCAAGTGGTCTAAATTGCAACAAACTGCTATGCTGTATGTAACTGCGTGTATAGCCCCCATCCTGCCAGGGAATTTTCCAGCTTTTGTCCTCTTCCCTACTGCGTTTTAATTTCTTCTAACTAGTAACTGTTTCTTTAGAGTAGTAGACTGCATAGGAGTGGTGGGACCCGATAGCATTACATGAAAATTGTTTTTCCTGGGTAAGCTTTCCTTTGAAAAGGTTTGCAAGGAAATTAGGGAGAATGGGTGGATACAATGTGCTTGTATTTCCACAACTTTGTTAAAAATATTCCTTGGAGGACAGTGCCAAAAGAAAAAGAAAACACTACCCAAACGATAGGGAAAGAGATAATGAAATGAGATAAAATGTGGTTAAATGATAGCAAACAGCTGTAATAGAAGGAATGTGGTGTAAATAACAGATAAGCACTTGAGATCGGATATGGAAGTCAGATTTGGTAATGTTAGCTCTCTGGGTGGGGGTCACGGATGGTGATCTTTCCCCTTGCTGCTGCTTTCCTCCTGCAAGAGGCAGACAGTGAAACTAGGCACGTTACATGGTAAGATTGTGTCCTTGGAGATAGACAAGTTAAAGTAATGAGGAGAAGGGGCAAATCAGACAGATGGCTGTGGCTATTTATAGTGTGGTTTAGGACATTCGTTACTTGATTCAGAAATTGTTGATATTTACAGTTTGTTGGCTTTTAGATAACAGTCCTCTTGTTGGATTAAGTTTCTAGTTAAAAATCATTCTGATAGCTGGGTAATCTGTAATTGTTCTTCACAGAAAAAGTAATGAGCAGTGAGTTGGTGAAATCAGTTATTAAGTTAATTAAAAACTCCTGAAGATTTGGTTTAACCAATAAAATAGAAGATAAAATACAATTTGAAGAAATTCTGTATAATATTTTCAAATATGATGATGTGGGTCAAATTTCTGAGATTTGCTGTGAAAGATAAATTGGCAGAAGTGCTGTAGAAGTCTTCTGTAAAATTTTTTCTCTTAAGGCAGATACTACAAAAAACTCTGGTTAAATACCTCTCCACTCCAGAGAAGCAATAATTTCAATTTAATTGTTTTATTTATTTCAGATAAATCAAAAGAAAGGCAGAAGAAAATAAGCCATGGTCAGAATACTGAGCTGTGTTTAGTTGGGAAAGATGGTGCTAAATGGGTCTTGGTGACTATCATATATCCTTTCTTTTGCAAACTTTTTAAGCAAACTTTCTATTTGCCAAATTCGTGTAAAGCAAAGGAGAGAAACCTCTGTGGTCTTCTCTTTGCTTATATTGATGTTTGCTGGCTAATTCCAGTATACGCATTGATAAGCTCTCATGGCTTGTTTTATTTAAGCCGGGATACTAGTGGGAGTAAATGTTCAGTGATGAAAGAGCATTATAGAAATTTGTAGAAGCAGAATGTAAATACAAACCGATGAGACTGGTTCTTAGCACATTTGTACCTGGTTTTTAAAGTTGTTTGATTATTTTTTTTYMA